TTATAGAACCACATTAAAATATGGCAAAATTTTTGCCTATCCTATATGGATAAGCCAAAATCGGATGTATGCACTAGGGACAAAGAAGGCAAAATAACTACCAATATGGATAGGATATTTATAAAAGCAGAGGAGTTTTACAGAGATCTGTACAGTAGCCAGGACAACCACGACTTTATTACTATAAGAACCAGCAGTAACCCAGATGACACCCCACAAGTATTGATAGAAGAAGTCAGAAAAGCTTTGGAGAGCATGCAAAGAGGCAACGCTGCTGTTGAGGATCAGGAAACATCAGATCTGCTCAAAAATGGAGGACAGATTGTGTTAGAAAAACTAGCCACCCTGTTTACGAGGTGTCTCCTGACGGGAAGAGTACCAAAATCTTGGAAGAACGCTAACATCATCTTAGTACATAAGAAAGGAGGTGACAAGGAATTGAAGAATTACAGGCCTTTAGCTTGCTCTCTGTAGTATACAAACTATTTACAAAGGTAATTGCTAACAGAGTAAAGAAAACATTAGAATCCAATCAACCAAAGGAACAAGCAGGATTTCGAACAGGCTACTCAACAATCGACCACATTCATACTATCAATCAGGTAATAGAGAAATGCTCAGAGTGTAACCAACCACTATACATAGCCTTCATAGATTACGAGAAGGCGTTTGATTCAGTAGAAATATCAGCCGTCATGCAGACACTGCGGAATCAGGGCGTCGATGAAGTATATATAAACATCCTGGATGAAATCTACAGGGGATCAACTGCTACCGTAGTGCTTCATAAAGAAAGCAACAGAATACCAATCAAGAAGGGTGTAAGGCAGGGGGACACAATCTCCTCAATGCTATTTAACGCGTGCTTACAGGAGGTTTTCAGAAGCCTAGAATGGGAACAGTTAGGGATGAGAATAATGGAGAGTACCTTAGCAACCTGCGCTTTGCCGATGACAATGCATTGCTGAGTAACTCAGGGGACGAATTGCAACTTATGATTACGGAGTTGGACAAGGACAGCAGAAAGGTGGGTCTTAAAATTAATCTGCAGAAAACGAAAGTCATGTAGAACAACCTCGGAAGAGAGCAGAGCTTCGAGATAGGTAATAGTGCACTTGAAGTTGTAAAAGACTATGTCTACTTAGAGCAGGTAATAACCGCAGAGCCAAACCACGAGATTGAAGTAACTAGAAGAATAAGAATGAGGTGGAGCACATTTGGCAAGCACTCTCAAATAATGACAGGTAGATTGCCACTATCCCTCAAGAGGAAGGTATAGAACAGCTGTATCTTGCCGGTACTTAGCTACGGAGCAGAAACCTGGAGACTTACAAAGAGGGTTCAGCTTAAATTGAAGATGACACAGCGAGCAATGGAAAGAAAAATGGTAGGTGTAACCTTAAGAGACAAAAAGAAAGCAGAGTGGATTAGGGGACAAATGGGGGTTAAGGATATCATAGTTGAAATAATGAAGAGGAAATGGACATGGGCCGGGCATGTAGCGCGTAGACAGAATAACCGCTGGTCATTAAGGGTAACTAACTGGATTCCCAGAGATGGGAATCGGGTTAGGGGGAGACAGAAGATTAGGTGAACAGATGAGATTAGGAATTTTGCGGGTATAAATTGGCAGCAGCAAGCACAGGACCAGGTTAACTGGCGGAACATGGGAGAGGCCTTTGTCCTGCAGTGAACGTAGTCAGGCTGATGGTGATGATGATGATGATGAGATAAAGTACTTAATAACCTTTGCATCAGCAAGCCACATGTTACTGGAGTGCAACCGAGCTACAAAATGGTTACAAAGAGTTCCTCTTTTTGTTTGTAGATACTATGTCTAATAGTGCAAGCACATCCAGTGAATGTGCAGGAATGCAATATCGATGTAATTCTTACACTATCCCTAAATGACAAAATTTATTTGTAATACGCCAATAAATAAGGCCCTAGCCCAGAAAACATTTATTGCACTTTTTTTTGTTGCCATAGAAAAATCCCTAAAATTCTGCACACTAACCAAATAACTTCATATTTCATGATTTGACGGGAGTGGACAATGCATTTAAATGGACAAAATGCCAAACTACCAAAATTACTTGTTTAAAATATTTGAAAAATAAAACCATTTACCAATTCTTCATCAATCTGTAAATGCTCTAAATATTTCTCAGAAGTAAAAAAGTCGTAACTTTTGTCATCCTGATATTTTGTTCCAAAGCAGCCAAGCTTCACGAGACCCGTTTCAGTAAGCCTGAAAGGTGTTCTGCACCACAACCTTCCCTACAGTCACTACTATTACCTGCGCCACGTGCACACGTGTTTTTTCGCAGGTAATTTGGCTGGCGCTTCGTTCTCGGCACTCTCCGATCACCGTACGCGTTGACTGGGTTTAGGTCGAATATGATCAAATTACAAGAGCGTCATGCCATTGAACAATGTAGATTCCTTTCTCGACCAACAAACATGTTCGAATTATCGAGCTTTTACTGTACACTGAATGCAGACAATGCCCATCACACTTATAAGACTGTCCTCATATACTAGAATGGCCTTACTTCCTTGGACATATTACAAAACAGAGCAATCAACTCAATGACCTGCTTGCATTTTAAGCATCACCGAGAGAAAAGACAAATAAATATACAAATGATCGAATCAAGAATGATGTTGAATCAAGAATGTTAAGTGAATTGACATGGTTGTCGATCAGTTAGCGGAACTGAAAAAAAAAAAAGAAGTTCACTTGTCCAGATCACAGATTTCGTCGTCTAGAAAACACAACACAGACATGCACATATGTTTCAAAGGGTAAAATGCATAATAACGTAATGCCAGGTTGCCGCTACACGCGTACATTTTGCAGGGTAAAATCAAAGTGTCACTACCGAGTGTTGCCCTCACTTAGATGCAAATTTATTTCTTTCGGCACATTCAGATGTGTGAAGAAGTGCATGAGCCTAAAATCAACCAGAGCTTTGTAAAACAGACAATACTGCTTCACGCTGATAATACATAAACATCGCAAAACAATCTATGACATTCTCCAAATTCGAATCGACAAAAAGGGCAGAAGTTGAATAGTCTATTTCGCTCGTTTCAATAAAACCTATTCTTCGCAGCAGTCCACAGACATGGTCACATAACAACCACAATACTACGTTCACAAAATATTAAGCAGCAACATTTTCGTGAAATAATGAACGACTTTTGGGAGGACTATGGAGCAATGTTTTTCTCGCAATATCCGAAGCATAAGACTTCTTCGTTTCTCTATAAAGGGATGGAAACATCTGCGAAAGCACACAGACAACTGTTAAAGCCAGCACAAACAACACATTACACTCAAGATCAGCTGAATTTCATTAAACTTTTTTATCATTTTAATTGAGTGATAACTTTTCAGTACCTAGTTGATAAACTACTTATTTTTTGATAAGACAACCTCTATACAGAAGGCAATACTAATTTGAGCACTTGAATTTGGAAGAAAAGAAAACATGAAATTGAACATTGAGGCAGTGTGTTGTAGCAGCATATTAGATATGAAAGAAACAAATGCTTCGTGAACCAAACCAATGAGCTAAGTGTGTGTTTCCTCATTTTAGCACAAAATATGTGGGTAGGCTATATTAAACAAAGGCCCTGTGGCTAAATAAGAATGGGTGCATTAACTGTTGATGCCAGGCAATCAAATGTGCGGACAGTTTCTTTTAGACACTGCGGGACGTATAGAATATGTCTTTCTTGAGTCGAAATAATAATGAAAGGCTGTGCTTCAATGACAACACACACGCGAGACTTGAGCTAGCGAGCAAGTACAACTGCATGTACTATGCCCTTGAACAGCAGTGTGTCTCTCTACCATGACACATGGAATGAATTTTCAGTGTATTACCATAGTTGCCAAGCTGAAAAAAGGAGTGATCAGAATGAATCTTGAAAAACAAAGATCAGTGAAGAAATTGGGGGACGCTTAAGCTCTGTCTTCAAGAGCTGAACGCGATAGTGATATCCTGTCCCTAATGCATACTTCAAACACCGCCAGTAGACCACCCAGAAAAAGTAAATTCAATATGCATTGGTGCGATCAATGACTATAGCCAAATTTAGTGTGGATTTAAAAATACAAAAGTCCTGCATGCAAAACGTGCATGAATAAAGATACCGAAATTGCAATAATACCACAAAAGGTGTGATATCTATCCTTCTCGCCCATTCTCTATCCCTGTGAAAAATGAACGTCAAACATGTGCTATCAAAATGCCTTTAGTGAGCACAGATAACAAGAATGTTTGCATAAAGATCGCAATCATTTCAACACCATGACAAACATTATTTGCTATCGTGCTGTTCACAGTGGGGATGTGATCAGCAGTGATGGTAGAATTCATAAATAAAGAAAACGGTCACACATAGAATCACGTGAAAACATGGGCTACTAACGAATGAAGTGGCTACACATCAAGGAGCCTCGTGTTTGTAGGAACTAACAAGCCAGTAGCATCAGAATACAAGTGTTACTTACCCTCAGCTATGACGGTAAGGCTGAGACTTATTTCTCAAGAACAGACACTGAAGAAAGTGTTTGGCTGCTTAGACAAAGCCTGATGAAGAGAAATAATTGGCTATCTGATAAAAAAAAAACGTGGAGATATATGAAGTGACATGGTTCTTCAAAAACCATTGGCAAAGTGGAGTTTCCTCTGTATCTCGATTTGTGTACATTCAATCAGAACATGCAACACAGACAGGTTCCTCCACCTACATCGGTCCAGAGCAGACATGCCATTTAACACGACAACACCAAAGAGCTCGTTTCGCAAAAATTACAGCACCGGCGTGAACGTTGTTGGTTGTGAGCAAATAATTTAAATCTTGTGCATGACCTGAAAATCAAGAAACATGCAGATAAAATAAATTATTAAAAACATCGGGTCTGAGTAAAATGAGCCCAAATCGTTTGCTTGGCAAACAGTTGTTCTACTACACAGCCATGCGTCTGCCTATTTATTTATTCATTTATTTTCTTTCCCCTCAGGGCTCGAGGACATCACAGAATGGAGAGGGTTACATTCGCAGCACAACATGTTTTCATAAAAAATAGAAAAAAGCTAGGGTGAAAACATAATCAATTATGAAGAAAACTGACAATAAATAGCACACAGTATAAAACGACAAGAACATTTTAAATAATACAAAGTGAAAATAAGGGTGCTTCACAGTAAAGATACAAAATGAAATAGCACACGGAGCACCAGCACGTGCTTATGAACCAAGGAATACATGTGAAAATATTGGGGCAAACAAAAAAGGAAAACTAAGAGGATGCTTAAAGATGTAGAGGAATGCAATGGTACAATACCAACCTTATGACGATAGTTGATGCGGGTAGATGCGTACGAAGCAGGCATTATCAATTTAATTCTTTCATAATATATCTTGAGGAACAGGCAGAGGTGAAACATTTTTTCACACTCTAATGGCAGAGGCAATGACAAGCTTGCTTTCATGTGCGATGATAGTTAGAAAGGATGAAATGAGCAGCCCGACTCTGGACATATTTGAGCTGAGAGATGAGCAATTCTTGGCTGGGGTCCCATACAGCAGCATTTGGAGCAAACTAAAGAATTATAAAGAAGTAATTTCAAAGAACTGTAAGAGAGGTAAAAATTGCGACGCATATAACCCAGCATGCGAGTAGCGTTAATAGCATTACCGGAGTAAAAATAACTTTTTCTGCTTGAAAATGCAGTGGAAATAACTTTCACGTTTTATCAAAACACGTGCCTTGTACCTGGCATGCTGCACAATACCGCATAAAACATTGCAGTAATAAGGCGTGGTAAAAGAATGCATTACCATCAGGTGTCAGAATATGAGTTTATCTTGATCACATCATGGTTTAGTGCAGGTCACCCACTACAAAATGTACACAAGTTAGTGAGCGTATTCCCTTTAAGCTACATGGTGGGTGCATAGCATGTTCGAAATGATTTCATGCACCAAGTGGTTCAAGTACACACTAGCGACAGGATATCATTACCACGTTCAACACTTAGAACGCAAAGCTCAAGGGTCCCCTATATTTTTCTTTTTATGTCTGTATCTCGCTTCCACTTTTTATCTCTTTCTCTCACTTTCTATCTTAAGATCTCTTTCTTTGATGCTCTCTCTCTCTCAACATCCTTTTCTTTTTGCCTCTTATTCTGTATCCCTCTTTTTATTTCCACAGCATGTTTTACTCTCTCGTCCTTTTCCTTCTCCCCATGCTATCATCTGCACTCCGCTCCTGAACTTCCCCAACCAGCTTGCTATTTGTGCTCTTCTAGCCCCTTGCCCTTAGATGCTATGTACGCAGTTTCGAATCTGTCCTCGGGGGGAAAACTTTTTCCCTCTGAATTTTTCTAGTCGAACTTAGGAACGCATCGTGTCGAACGCAGGTCATGGGCTACCACGAAAGTACGCATGCAGTCAATACGCGCCGACTCAACCCGATCTTTCTTGCCGTAGCTATGCAAACAAAGATAGAAAGAACAAAGTTCAAAAGTCACCCACACGGCCACTGCAGCGCGCGCAGACTGAAAACAGAACTACAGTTTCTCGCAAGCTCTGCGCAGGAAAGCGAGGTCGCTATTGTCTTGTTCATCGATAGTGAATACGATCCGAAGAAGTGCAGCTAACAGATAATATTGAAGATAACAATAATTAAAGATAATAAAGCCATAAAACAAGGTGAAGCATTACGGCTTTCCTGTCATTCACTTTTAGCCATGGTAGAGCGGAGCTTCATCACTTTTAGTGTATCAGTTGGCCTCTAGCGAAGCTTTGGCACGCTCATTTGCGGCGCTGTGAACTCAGCATGCCCCAAGCGTCGTCTGAAGATCGCATTTTCATCTGTATGACACACCCCTGCATATAACCGGTGCCCAGGACCGCAAATCGCTGCAGGAAGAAAAAACTAGCCGCGTATTGAGGCAAGGCTCCTTTCTTTGCATTGCCGTGAAGCCGCGCTATGAAGTCAACTAGCGCACCGAAATTCTTGTATAACCCGCACCCAGACATCGGCTAAAAATATACTGTATATTTTGATCCTGTTACATGCTAGAAGATACATTCACTCAGAAATGAGTAACACATATCAGTTCGCTTAAAATCATGAGAAAGAAAATAAATGGCAGCACATCAACGGCAAATGTTACATTCGTGGCGGCAAATACACACATTTCGTCACACCGTCCATTGTGCGCGTTTGACGCTCCGTGTCAATACCATTGATACCACGACTCCACTCATCAATGACGTCTCAGATGACACCTTCGCGCGTATGCTCAACGAAGTGGACGAATCTCTGCAGCGTCAAAGCCACGTTCGTGCTTCGATGACGGCAAACAGACCTCAGATGAGTCCACAGAAAATGGCGCATCTGCCAAGCACATGGAGTCACGGACAAGAAGTAAACAAAAGCTCGCATGGATGAATGGATGCTATGAGCGTCCGTTTTATAATGGGGCGGTGACATGTGCGTCACCCGGCTCCAAGGAAAAAAATGAAAACTTTCCTGTTGTGTTGGCCTGATACCTTATCTACTTCCATTAAATTAATTTTATTATAACAAAAAAAAATGTAAATTTATGTTCCACTTTTCTGCCTCTTTAGGCAGAATGAGTTCTTCACACTATTTCCCACTATTTCTGTCCTTTCTCTCTGCTTTTCTGCACCAATACTCTGTCTCTAACTTGCTTCTATTGTGAACGTGTTCACCTTTTCATGTTCGTCCCTAAGACCCAAAGACTCATTGTAGGCTAGTACCCACACGTATCGCCCTATTCAATCAGAACATGTTCCATCATTTTCTTAGCTCTCCCACAGCATGTACAGTGCTCAACTCTCATGCCTATAACGACGGAGCGTCGCGCGCGGAACAGCACAGGCGACATCTACAGTCGTAAATACGCCACATCTGAGCATGCGCAGCGCTAGTGATGTGCTTGCCTTGCAATACTGATCCCTGTTCATCACTGCGGATGCAGCAATCGCTTTGGCCGACAAAAGCGCTCTGAACGATTTAGCGAAAAAACAAAAAGAAAGCAAAAAAACGAAGCAAACCGTTCTCGCTGTGATATGATACCATGAAGCGAGAATGAGTTTAGAGTATAAAAGGCGCCTATCCGGGCAATTTCTGGTTTCTTTTTTTTTTTTCCTTTCGGTTCTATAAAGTTGACAGCGCTTCGACGGCCAAAGCAGTCATCGCGGCCCCGAAACTGAAGGAGGGTGGAAAATGCACCGCAGGCACATCACTGGCGCCACGGATGCTCAGATGTGGCGCATTTGCAACTGAAGATGTCGTTTGCGCTGTTCCACGCGCTACGCACCGTTGTTATAGACATGAAAGTTGAGCATTGTACATTGTCCCTCTTATTTACTGAACCTCGCTTCCTGACTACACATTCTAAGGCAACCCGATCTCACTTTGAACAGTAAAGCGCTTCCCTTTGAATTACCATAAAACATCTGCCGCCTTACTTTGTTCTTAACATTTCGGTAGTTACTGGGAGGTGGCTTCTTTACCATCAGTGTCATCCAATAAATCCACTCCACCTCTCTTAAGCAGCATTAAGCGAATTTTCGCTTAATGCTCCTTGTTGCCATATCGCCAACATTGCCACTTTTTCATTTACTGGCAAGCCTCCTAGTTCTTTTTCTTCACTTTGCGTCCACGCTTTTCCTACAAAAATACCTGAACACATTTCCTGCTCATCTACTATCTTTCGTTTTCCTAAGCATCTCTTCAATTCTCACTTTGCTCTGAGCTTCCCTTACTTCAAAGCCTGTCCATCCCCTATCCCCCTTTACAGCCTCATTTGTCGTCTTCCTGTGAGTGCCCAACAGGAGGCGTCCTACAGTCCTATAATTTACATCTATTCCTGATTGCACCTCTGACCGCACACCACCGAGTTCCCAAAGGTAAGCCCTGGAACCATAACGCCTTTCCACAGACCTCGACGCACTTCGTACCTATTGCAGCTGGTGCGCGCATCTTTGGACCTTTCAATGCTTCGGCTGGGTACTCGCCTCGCCGAGCAGACGAGCGCAGTCAAACGGGCTGCCTGTGCGATGTCCCCGCTTCCGAGGACTTCCCCGAACTAGGTTCCCTAGAATACAGCACCCGAACCCGTTCACGGTTTGCCGGAACTGTTCGAGTGTTTGCCTCCCCCTATCTTCCTATCTCTACCACCTCGATAATGCCGAGAATGCACCCTCACGTCACGGCATGGACGACTTTCTGTATCAGAGGCGTGCGAGGGCCTGTCACGCTAACTGTTCCCTTCGTTCTCTGCATCCGCGCTGCAACGCACGCTTGGTCAATTTCGGAAGTTTAGGTTTCGCCATCTGGCCGACGCGTTTTGATGGTTCCCTTGCGATGTGCTGCAGTAATTATATATGCGGCGAAATTGAAGCTCGCTGTTGTGCATTTCGCTGAGGAAAACGGGAAGCATGCCGCCAGAAAGTACTTCAAGAGGACTTGACGACCGGCGCTAGAAAGCAGGAAAGTGCGCGCTTCTAATACAAGTTCCTGTCATTGAATGATGCCCTTTCAATTATGTGTGGATGCTTAGTTCTTCCAGTACTTTTGTGTCGTGAGGAATAGTTTTGCTCAGCATTGTCGAAAGAGCCTCAAGAAAACTATTGAAAACCGCTAGACCTCACGTGACAAGTTCTGACTCAGTAAATTACGCCCTAATTCTTTCAAAATTATTAAGTTCACTTCGTTCCTGCTCCGACTTATTTCTTCTTTTTTTATAAATGCATATACTGCACATGCTATAGGACTATTGCACGATATTTCGAATGTGCTGGCAAAATCCCCACGTAATTTGCGCATCTCGTTCTCTGGGCCCCAAAATTGGAGAAAAAAGTGTGCAAATTTTGCAAGCAAACACGGTATTCCTTATAATTTTATGCAAACTGCGTTTCCTCGGTATATTTCTCTCAAAAGCTGTATACGGTCATAACCCATGCCCACTTCCTTTAATATGTCCCACAAAACTTCCAGTTAACATTGTCATACACCCAAGTGATGTCCAGATAAGATAGGTATAAGGACCTGTTTTCTATTTTATATGCTTCTATACACCGAGTAAGAACAAGCACGTTATCGTTTAACCGCCTGTAGATTCGGAATCCAATTTGAAGTTCTCCCAAAATATCATTTTGCTCTGTCCCCGTTTCTATTTTTAATTCATTGCCTGCATCACCAACCTGTATAGTACAGTTGTAATGGTGAGCGATCTATATGAGCCTTTTCTCCCTTGCCTTTATACATTAAGTTCATTCTACTTTTCTGCAAAGTGTCTGATATTTCCGTCTTGTGTAAGCACTTTTACGTAAATTTCAGCAGTGCTTCTATAGTGCTATGTCAAAGTTGGTTAATGAAGCACACGGGAACCCCATCTAAGCCCAGAGTACAAGCTTATAAATTTTTCCTTCGGCCTTCTTCCAATTGAAATTCTCAAGTACTACTTCTTCCTTGGTTGTACTTTTTTCCATACGTTTACTGATCGGGGTCGCCCATGAAGTCCCATGGGCGACCATTTTAAACGAATTTGCTGTTACTTTTCGAATATAACAAAGTGCTTCGTAGCCTTCCAATTTATTGACTCCTGTATCTACTATATGTTTCTGCATTGTGACGGACTTCCTACCTAGTGCTTTAGGCAGCTCCAAAATATTTTAGGCGAGGCCTTTTCTTTTCGCGAATTTCTGTCATGCAGTGTTCACTTTCACCATAAATTTCTGCCTCGACCAATTTCTGCACAATGGTTTGTTCTCTAAATATACTTCCCATATTTGGTTGACTTTATCCTGTGGTCACTTCTCCCTTATTGTCTGCCTGTGCTCCCGTGATGTCTCACGTAGCTTCTCGATCGCTTCCCGGATTTCTCTGTTCCACAACTTTTTCGCTTTGTCTTTCCTCTCCAGCAAGTAGTTCCCTTTTTCCATCTCCCTCGTCATTGCATGTAACAGCTTACTATACTCCCAGTCTTTGCCCGGTAGTTTTTCTACTTCGTCCCCGAATCTTGCGGCTACATCTGTTATCGGCGAGTCATTAAATGCGAGCTTCCTAATTTTGATTCTGACACGGAGTAAATGGCCCCTGGTGAACTGGTGAGCCGTTATTGGGCCGGTTTATTTCAGTGAGCTGAGCCGTTCAGAGCCGCTCACTGAAATTAGCCGCTTTGCCCATCTCTAGTCTCACCCCAAGCACGTCGTGGCAAGAGAAAAACACAAAACAAGAAAAATACTAGGTAACTGACACCCCCCCCCCCCCCTTTCTTAACAGCCATACAATGTAATAGATGCTATAAGGGTTTATACGGCTGCCTTATTAACGAATAAAATCAAGCTCGAGGCATGCAAAAACACTTACCTGCGCAGTGGATCCGCAGCCCTCACAAAACACGTTCATCGAACACACGTTAACATTTACACCGAGCAAAAGCAGCAGACAACTTGATGTCGGTTGCGCAAGAATTCAAGGACAGGAGAACTCGAGCTTGGATGCCCCGATCGCATTCTCCGAGCACTAAGCAGCATCCCAGACTTTCACGAGGAACACAGCATATAGTTTTCTAAAACTTTAGGAAACTCTATGGAACGCAGCACCCGGCCCCGGTGAAGACACGAACCGACGCCGCAGAACACCTATTCACTCCAGCGCCTCCTCTATTTTTGCTGTGCCTGTTGCGTCGCGCCAGTTCCGATTGCTCCGCGCCTGGTGGTTTGTTTCTCCGAGTGAACGCAAGGTTGCGCTAGGTTATTATCCTCTCACGTGGTCTGCCTCAACGTTTTTAGATAATATATCTAGCAACGCTGGTCTGCTTGACATAAAGTTTCTCATAGGTATTGTAGGAAGCTCTATGCTGCCTGACTGCCTGCACAGCAGCTCTAGCCCCTGTACCGTTGGCTCTTCTGATCTTCACTTGTATTCGGTGATTCCGAATTTCCCTGTTTGTTTATGATAGCGTATCGCAAACAAGGCCGTACTGAAGATGTCTCACCGTTTTAACTTAATCCGAGCTCGAAGAAAGGCATGACGATAGTTATAGCGCGAGAACAAAACGACGACACTGAGACAAGAAGGACACGAAAGACACGAGCGCTGGTGTCTTTCGTGTCCTTCTTGTCTCTGTGTCGTCGTTTTGTTCTCGCGCTATAACTATCGTCATGCCATACCAACTAGCCCAAGCTGCCACACTTCGAAGAAAGGTGCCGTGCACACAGGCATATCAGGCGGGGGGGGGGGGGGGGAGCTGAGTTCTCCTACTATATATATATATATATATATATATATATATATATATATATATATATATATATATATATATATATATATATATATATTAACGAGGGTCTCGATCGTACTGGCAGACTTGGTGCCTCTAGGTTGCATACGGGGGTACTATTGGTCAGCTGCCAGTTAGTAATAAGTTCACGTGCTACGTGACGCCAAACAGGCTCATAAAGAGTCTACCACACTCGCCGCCATGGCTACTAGTGGCGCTGACTGACTCTCCCACGTTTAAATTGACATAGATACCCAATAAAGTGGCTGGGGGGATAGCTGTCGTGATAGCTCAGTGGTAGAGCATCGAACGCGTTATTCGAAGGTCGCATTTTCGGATCCTGCCCACGGCAAGTTATCTTTTCACCCACTTTCCTTCCTATTTACATTACAATTTGGTCTAATATCTTCCCCTATACTTTCCTTGGCATTATTGTCTGTTAGATCTCATTAATAGTAATTGTGTAAAAATGCGGAAAAACGAGCCCTTAGGTATACACTTCTTTCCTCACACACACACACACACACACACACACACACACACACACACACACACACACACACACATATATATATATATATATATATATATATATATATATATATATAGTCCAGTAGATCCTCCGTGAGCGGTCACAACGTGGTTTATTTCGACCTTTCGGCCTAGAGTCTGGCCTGGCCAGGGCCGAAATAGACACTGAAATCGCCAATGAAGATCTTCCTGTACTGATAAAACCAGTGAGTGAAAACAACATCATAGTGCATGCTGGTCGCCTAGGCTAACTCTCGTAGTGTGCGAATAACATTCAATGGTGGCTGTCTTCCCTCTTACGTGAAGGTTGGCCATTTCCGTCACCAGGTTCGCCCATTTATTCCGAAGCTTATGCAGTGTTTCAAGTGCCAAAAGATTGGCCACGTGAAGGGCGTTTGCAGAAATTCCGCAGTGTGCCCCCGATGCGCTGAACACCACTCAGAAGACGACTGTAATGCAACTATGTTGAAATGCCCCAACTGCCAAGGAGCTCACAGTGCTTCCTCCAAAGACTGTCCTCAGAATAAGAAAGAGGTTTATATTCTGAGGCAAATCGGTGCGAGACAGCTCGACTCACAGAGAAGCTGCGCAAAAAGTAAGGCGAAGGCGCCGTCATCGTCGAAGGTCCTCACGAAGGACAGTGCAAAATCTGACGAGAAAGTCAGAAACTCAAGCGAAATCGACAGGCGCGGCTCCTAGCACGGCAGACACCTGCGCTGAAAAAGAAGATGCTGGAACATCTCTCTCTCCAAAGGAATGGCCACCCCTTCAGCCTAGACGATCTGTCGAGCCTCAACAGAAGCCACCTACACGACCTGTTGAGCCTCAACAGAAGCCGCCTCAAGAACAAGCACAAAATGCTGAAACGGCTGGGAAGCCAGATCATCGCGTGATGGTGATGCTAAGATCATTAGTGGACACCATTCGCGTGCTGTTAAGCGACATGAATACACCGTCAGTCAAGAGTGCCCTTCAAGTACTGGACGCGCTTAGTCCAGTGCTAGCAGCCCTAGAGTAGACCATGGCTAACCCACCAATGTCTTTCAGGGATGAAGTTCGTAAAGCATCAATGCTGCAGTGGAACGCCAGGGGACTGAGATCGCGCATTGGTGACTTTCGTCGATTTGTGTACGTGAATATGTTTCCCGTAATCGTCATGTGTGAGCCGAACTTATCGAGTGCAATACGACTCTCGGGATACGAACCTTTTATGTCGTCTACTGTTACTGAAAGCAGCAATATTCTAGTGTACATTTGCAGAGACCTCACTTGCATCCTTCAACCTGTATCACCTCGTGACGGAAACCAATACGTATGCTTAAGAGTGAAAAAAAGGAGGCTCAACATCACTGTGATTGGCGCATACCTATCACCATCAAGCCGTTTCGCTCAAAAAAAGACTACGAGACATCATAGCGTTAACTCCTGACCCGTGTGTTATCATTGGGAATTTTAACGCTCATCATACATTATGGGGAAGTCAGAATACCAACATGAAGGGCAGAAACTTGGTGTCTTTTGCCTCCGACAACAAACTTTGGTTACTGAACGATGGCAGTCCTACATTTTTACGTGGCTCCACATACAGTAGCTGTCTCGACATGGCTTTTGTTTCGCGAAGCTTAGTGAAACATACGGAATGGTTGACGGATATAGAAACGCATGGGAGTGATCACATTCCAACATACGTCAAGATCAGAGGATTGTCGCCTCCTAAAGTGCGCGACATGGTTAAAAGGGTGGACTGGAAAAAAAATTCAGTCTCGTATGAAAGACCAATACCAACAACACATATCCGATTTACAAGAGGCCATCAAGAGCACTGTAAAATAGACTGTGTGTACAATCCCATGCCCTGTAAGAATCATGGACATCGACATAGAGCTGGAGCGGCTTCGAGCTTTGCGACGACGAGCTGAAAGAAGGCACCGGCGCACGAAGGACAGAAGATTTACTGACTGCTAGACGTATGCAGAAGAAGATCAAACGTCGGTTGGACAAGCTAGAATTCCAACGCTGGATTACTTTCTGCGAGTCACTCGACCCTCGTAAGCCTTTATCGCAGATATCGAGGACGGTAAGAGGTTTGCGGTCATCCCCAATTCAGAAGTCACCATTCAAGGCCCTAGCCCCTTACCAAAATCGACCAGATGTGGACGTTGCTGAAGAGTTCTGCAATGGATTATCAGGGCAAACAACAGCACTTAGCAGCTCACCACTTTCGAGCAGTTGTCCGCCACCACGTGATTCCTGTATGGGCTTCCCGTTCACCATTCAGGAGCTCAAGGCAGCACTTGCTTCATGCAAACGTACCTCCGCACAAGGACCTGGCGGAATCTCCTACAGAGCCCTGTGTCATCTGGGTGAGCGCACGAGAATAGCTCTACTTCAGCTATATATTGATTGTTGGCTAGAGGGCACTGTCCCCTTAAGTTGGAAAACTAGACACCTAGTACCACTGCTAAAAGCTGGCAAATCACCATTGCAACTCTCCTCCTATCGCCCGATCGCATTGGCTAGTTGCGTGGGTAAAGTGATGAAGAGAATGATTCTCGGCTGACTCGAGGGGTACTTGGAGTATTATGAGATCTACCCAAATGCCATGGTTGGCTTTCGACGTGGTCGATCATCGATCGATAGCGTCATCGACCTAATCACGTACGTTGAACATGAGAAAGGCCATAAGCGTCTTTGCGCCTCTGTTCCTTGACGTCAAAGGAGCCTATGATAACGTTACACATGAAGCCGTCCTTACCACACTAGAAGAGATTGGAGTGGGATGGCCGAATGTTTAAGTGGATACGCAGTTATCTCCTAATGCGATCCTTTTTTTGTGATTAGGGAGGCCGGGAACATGTCTGCACATTTCAGTTGTAGTGGCGTCCCTCAGGGCGGTGTACTGAGCCCCGTGCTATTCAATATAACACTAATCGCTCTCCATACACACCTACCAAACAATATTTATCTATGAACATACGCTGATGACATCGGCATATCTGCGGTAACTCGCCTGCAGTTACGAGCGAGAATACAGAGAGCTGCTACTGCAACTGCTTTGTATCTCCGCAATCGAGGCCTGGAAATTTCCTCCGAAAAGTGCGCTCTTCTGGCATTTACGCGCAAACCCATGTCAAATTACACATTTGACATGGGTTCGCCCCATGTCAAATTACACATTTGAAACCCATGAGCACACATTCGAAATCTCCTACTTGCACTGTAGGCTATTAAACATTTTGTAATTGTGCGGGCACGTTTGTTTGTCGCCCGAAAGACATCTCCACCACTGCGATAACAAAAATGATAAAACCACAGGTCAGCAGTTTTCGAATTTTCTTTCCTGCATTCTCAAGTCACTTTCATCGCAGAACCCTGGTGTCATGTGAAAAAGTGGACTGTTATTTTGAAGCGGCTACTTACTGTCACAAATCATGACGCAACAGGTTCAGTAATTACACACGTGCGCACGTACCTATATTTACGGGTACAAGTATGATTACTGGCGTCAGAAAATCTGAGTGTCAGTTACTCAGAGCCTGCTCATAATATTTCTACAGTCCTGACGCACATAATAATATGCGGGGTTTAGATCTCGAAACCATGAGATGATTATGACACACGCCAAAGTGGAGGACTCCATAAATTTTTACAATCTGCTGTTCTTCAACATGCACTAAACTCGCACTGCAAACAGGCTTTTACCATTTTGCCTCCGTCTATATGTGACCGCCATAGCCGGGATCGAAACTGCAACATTCAGGTCAGCAGCCGAGCACCGTAGCCACTGTTCTATAGAGGTGGAAAAATCCTGAGACACAAAGAGAGAAAATA